CAAACGTCAGTGCTGCCCCTTACCTCGGGTCAGTAGGGCTTGTAGAGCAGACGACACGGGTGTGTGTGGAGGTACTGAGGGGAGGCTTGTTCTTGTAGTGTCGACTGTAATAGAGGTATAAGGCGGGAGGAGTTAACACGCTGCGTTCACTCCTCCGACTCCGGCTTCTTTTCTTTTGATACCGGAGGCTGAAGCTCTTGTTCTTCTTTATAGCAAACTGTGTGAAAAAAGGTGAAATAATTAAAAGCGACTTAAAATGAATCATGAAATGACCGTTAAAGGGCCGTTCCCTCTCGTTTCCAGGCCGTGTGCTGTGACGATCACGAGCACTGCTGCCCTAAAGGCTACAAGTGTAACGTGGCTGAGCAGACCTGCGACAGGCCCGGCGGCCTCAGCCTGCCCTGGCTGCGGAAGGTCCCGGCCCTGCAGACGGAGCCCAGTCTGGCTGTGTCCGGTCCGACTCGGCCGGTCAGGAACATGTGCGACGCCACGACCAGCTGCCCCAAGGATACGACCTGCTGCTTCATGGACAGGACCCACAAATGGGGCTGCTGCCCTCTGCCGAAGGTAAGCGCTCATTTAAACGTCCTCGCACACGGACAGAGAGTAACGTTCAGAGAGTTCACCCCTCCGCTGTTCCTCAGGCGGTCTGTTGTAACGATGGAAACCACTGCTGTCCCAGCGGCCACACCTGCGAGCCTCACCGGTCCTCCTGCTCAAAGGGCGCCCGCGTCATACCCTGGTTCGCCAAACTGAGCGCCCTGAGCGAGCCGGGCGCCGTGACCGACGTAAAATGTGATGACAAGAGCAGCTGCGCTTCGGGAACGACCTGCTGCAAGCTACAGACGGGAGAGTGGGGCTGCTGCCCGCTCGTCAAGGTCTGTACATCCCCGAGGTTGTTCGTTAGTAAATGTTACAGCAACTGAGAGGAAGATCAGTTAATGTGACAACACAAATCTAAATGAAATGGCTGAAAGTAAGATTTTATAAAGTCCTGTAGAACAGATCTGTTGGTCTTTGACTTACATACAAGTTTAATTTAGGAATAAACTACAAGTCAAAGTGGCTTTTTTTATTTCAGATGATAAAAACAATGACTTTACTGTTTCACTACATGAATAAATAAAGGTCTGATTACTGTTCATACAAATTAATAATAGTTCCATTGTTTACAATCGCGTGAGTATCGCGAGGCGAATAGTTGCCCTTTTAAATCTGGCTTATAACGTTGGTTTGAGCCCAAAATAAAGAGATTAATGTCAATAAACGGATCAAAAAGATGCTGAAATAACTACATTAAGATGCCGATCTGTAAAAAGTCTGAATTCAGACTTTGTTGGGTCTGTACGTAAGAGGACGAGCAGACAACTTTTAAAATGCTTGTTTTCTGAATGGAGTTTGGTTGACACGAGCTACGCTAACTTAGCTCTTGAAGAAGGACGGATGGAAATGGCTCTGATGTTATAAAACATTACACATTTGAGTTCAAACATTAGTTTTTTGTCACTAAAACATTGTGGTTCAGTCCATATCTGTTAATTATATATCAGTTTCTTCTTCTGTGTCCTCTTTTCAGGCGGTCTGCTGTGCGGACCACGAGCACTGCTGTCCTCAGGGCTACACCTGCAACATGCAGACGGGAACGTGCGAGAAGAAGAGCCACGACGGCACCCTCCCTCTGAGCAGAGTGGTACGGCCCGAGCCCGAAGGCGCCGGGGGCGACGAGGATGTACCATGTGACAGCGTGGGGGAGTTCCACTGCCCCGAGCGGGACACGTGCTGTAAGCTGTCGGCCACAGAGTGGGCCTGCTGCCCCTCGCCCAGGGTACGTTCACAGGCTCAGCTCGGTGTTTATTAAGGTTACGGTGATTTATAGTTTCCTCCTCGTCTGACTCTGAGGAATGTGGGTCATGTGACCAGTGAACATTGTGTCACATGATCCAAAGCGTCCCTGTTTTCTGCCTCAGTGAACTCGCTGAGGTCAGTTTGTTTTCTGTGTGTCAGTATTACTCAGTGTGGTCTTCTATATGATGATTATATTTAAAAGCACTTTATCTTCACTTTAAGGTTTTTATAAGTTGTTACCCAGCAGGTCCGGAGTTCCCACGCATCCTGGAAACACCTGGAAACACCTGGAAATGGATTAAAAAGACCTGATATCCTGGAAATAATCTCTAATAATCTCTGTTGTCCTGGAACATTTAAAAACCAAGATGTTCTGTTTGAATCTCGACTGTTTGTAGGATTTTTCTTGACTTTTTTCGTCTGTAGTTGGTCACATCTACATGTAATACAGCCTGTTAACGATCAATCAGTCACCTTTTGACTGGAAGGTTCACCTGCACAAGACCAGTCTGTCTGTCGCCTGATCAAAGAGCTGATTGGCTCTTAATTCTGACAGCAAACACCACATTTAGCTTATTTTCTGTCTGATTTTAATATTTATTTCTGTAGATTTCAGCTGTTTCATGTCTCACGTTGCACATCGAAGTTTTAATCTCTTAACAAACATCTCCTGAGGTTGATAATAATAATAATAATAATAATAAAGTTTATTTATGTATCTGAACGTGGTCTAAAAGCTACAGATGATCCAACAGGATGTAAACATTTCTGTGACTTCCTGTTTATTCTTTGAAGGCTGATGGAAACCGTCAGTCAACGTTACAGGAAGGAAATCAAACTCAATCAACCCGCTTTGTCCTTTCTTTCCCGACAGGCCGTCTGCTGCTCCGACTCGAAGCACTGCTGTCCCGCGGGATACTCGTGCGACCTGCAGGCCGGAGGCTGCACGCCGCAGACGCCGCTGACCTGGGACTCTCTGTTAGGGGACAGAAAGAAAGACTTTGTCCAACGTGGACTTTAATAATCCCACACGAGAGGTGCCGCTGATCTCCTGCAACCTGGATCCATAAACGTCCATCATAAACGCCGTCGATGGGCTTTTATTTTCCCTTCTCACCACTCCCTGTTTGTTTTGTCATTCGTGGAAGAGTATTTCCAGAGTTTCTGCCTCCAGGCGCGGACGCTGCAGTCGTCTCTCGTTATAAATGAAGTCGAAGCACTCTGGTAGGAAGGAATTATTGCAACATGTGTTACATTGAAGTGAGCAATTATGGATCATTACGATCACTATTATTGGAAATCAGAATACCAACGATGGCGTACCGGAAGGATGTCTCTTAAAGGTGGAGTTATGTATTTTATTTACTGTCAACAAACATCATTAAAAGATCAAAACCAACATACAGATACAGATTATTAGTAATCTGTGTAACTCCTGGTCAGCTTGTGACCTTAAACACTGTACGAGGAGTTAAAGGGGAATTATGGTACAGCCGAGTTTAATTTAAATAAAGTTATACATAAATAATTAATATTTCTCTCTTTTTGCCAAATCATTTGGTTTCCTTTCCAGGTTATCCTGGTCTGTGGTTGTGGATTGGGCTGCTCAAAGTGAAAGTTTTCCTCCATAAAACAGATTATTCAGCTTTAAAAACGGCCTAAAAATAAATAGTTTCTCTCTTTTTAAAAGGCTCATTGTACGCTGTAAAGTTAATTTAACTCAAACAAACAGTTCAATGGATTACATCAAAGCTTTTAAGTTACACAAACTCAATTCTCATTTGTTTAGTTAAAAAAGATCCTTAATTAAGCAGCTTTTATTAGTCATTTTAAGTTACAGAAACATTCCTGATTGAGTACAAAAATGAACTCAGTGTTAGTTAAAATATTTAAGCTGCTTCAGTCTGAGATCAGTTTCCACACTTGTTTGAGTTAAATGAGTTTTTATCAACTTAAAAAGGAAATAATACACTTGTTGGGAACTATTTTCAACGGCGGATGAATCCACATTTGGTGCTCTAGTGAGTATTTGGGGCAGCAGGACGACGGAGCTCTAGAGGAAGAAGGTATATTGGATCAGTTGTTGGTTTTGGTCTTTTATTGGTTTATTAACAGTAAGACAGATACCGAGTTTCACCTGCCGGCCTCTTTTTGTTTTGGTGTTTTGAGTTAAACGAGCCGGTCGCCTTATTGAGGGCGACATTTGATAAAAGATGACCTCATCAGACTCGACCGACGGTGTTTCTGTGAGGACTTATTTCATCTCTTTGTGTCGCTGAGGCAGAATTTCTTTGTTAAACACTTAAACAGGTAAAAAGTTGTTGATCTCTTGTTGATTTGATGTTATTTTCTGTGATTTAATGAGGAGTAATGAAGCAGATAACGAATGTTGATAGAAGATGATGTGACTGATACACGAACAGCTTGTGCCTTCTTTAATTAACTGTAAGAGGAGGCGGTCGGTCAGAGAATCCTCTCCATCGTTGGGAAACAGTCCCTCCAGGATGTCGCAGGCTGGTTTCTGGGATTGTTTGCGGCCTAAAATTCCTGATTTCACGGCAGCTTTTCTAAGAAACTGCAACGTTTTTAGGCATTTTATTGCTTTTGGCTGCACATTTTCTGACAGCTGGAGAACAGGATTTGTTGTGTGCAGCACTACAGTCCTTCATTATAAAGCTGCTGTATCACATCTGTCCTGTATGGATATTGCAGCCTTAGAATAGTGTTTTATGTTACAGATGTTCAGTTTGGGTCCAGAGCGTTTAGAAACTGCCACATGCTAACTCGCATATGTTGGGAAATTAGGATAATTAGCATTAAATAGCATAGTAGGGACAATATTTGGATGATACAGGAGTGGGTTTGGGGTTTATTGAGGACGCTGAATCCATTTCTGACATTTTCAAAATACAAAATGGTCGTTTAAACCAGAAGAAGCCACATTTAAACTCCCAGTTGGCTCATTTTGATTAATTTTAAGTACATTTTGAGGTTCTTTATGTGTTTAATACATAACTGCAGCAGCAAAGACGGACAAAATGCTGCACAGCAACAGCAGAACTGAAGGAAATATGATGTCTGAACATTCACACCAATGACATTGAGCTTAAAAATGCAGCTCTACTGTGTAAAGCATATAATAAAAACCTCAAAATGTATCAAAAATAATCAAAATCAGCCCACTGGGAGTTTAAATATGTCCCCTTCTGGTTTAGAAATGGATTCAGCATCTTCAATAAACCCTAAAACCACTCCTTTATCGTCCAAATCAGCTGCTGAAATATCGTCCATATAGCTGATTATTAATGCTTATAATTAGTGCAGGTTATCGTGTGTCAGTTTCTAGATGTTCGGGACCCAAACTGAACATTTCTAACATGAAACTTTGTGTTACTCGACATTTCTGGGTTCACGTTGCTGACAGGTCGACAATATTTGGGATTTTTTTTGGTATAAAAGTCAAAGTCAGCTTGTTTGCTGGTAGCTTTTATTGGTTAAATTCACACAAATTCACAATAATTGGATTAAATTGTGAAAATAAAGTGGCGAGGACTCCTGGAGGGAAAGAACAAAACATACTGAACGAGCTCTTGAAGGTTTGTAACAACACTGCTGTTGGATGGAGTCACGAGGAAAGTATAATTTTATTAAATCTACTTTTTATGAATAAAGATTGGATCCTTCCCTGAAATACAGACAATGTTTGTTTGTTTGTTTGTTTGTTTGTTTGTTTCCTCCTTTTAAAGGGTTTTAACTTAAATAAAATGAGTTTTCTTGATGTGATAATGAAGATCTGAGGTCGTATCAGCTGGCAGGATGTTCAGACACACTTCCTCTGGCCTCTCCTGTCCTCCATATCCTCTTACCGCCACCGCCCCTCCAACCTCCCGTTTCCCAGGCATCAGGAAGTTGTTATGACGACCCGAGTAAATACAAGATGGAGGAGTTGAGGCACAGCTGTGTGGTGGGGGGTTGTGTCCCACTTTGTGTTGCCAGGCCATCTGAGGAGCTTTATTTCTGCCCTCTGGTGGTCAAACACCGACTCTTCTGTTCTGCAAACAATGAGACACACATGGTGTTTAAATGAGGTCAGACGCTCCTCTGAGGCCTCCATGTTACAGGACACTTAACTTCATTATTATTTAAAACAAACAACTTCAAACTACTTAATGTGTCTCAAAGAGGGAAAGAAACTACAAAATACACAAAGTGTTCATATATCACATTAATGTATCTAATGTGCAGAACCTCAGAGTTTAAAGGTTAATCAAAACATTTTTTAAATACTATTGTGAGTTGTTTTGGTTTTAAATGAATTACATAATTAATTAATTAAATAATATAATTCATGTTGTTTATGTTAATAAAATAAAGGTTAAAGGTCTGGAGGAGAACTTACAGATTGAAACCAACTTCTCACTAACGGTACGGTCAGTTTCAGTTATATAGAATATGATTTTATTGCTTTGATGCGAAGGCCTTTTTCACAGCAGCCATTGCAACATGAAATAGTCGGGTAAACACAGGTGTTATTATTGATGGTAGATAATATTAAGGCTCAATTCCACATTAGCTATCTCGGCTTAGCTCGGTATCCGGGGGACATCCTCGTTAGCTCCTCTCAACACAAACACTGGAAACGATGGGAAATCAATATGTTGTTTGTGTGTCTGTGTACAAATAAAAACTGTAAAGACAACAAGTTGTGGTTTTAATGTTGATTTACACCACTTTAAAGCTCTCAGAGATCCTCATCAGCAGTTATCAATCGATTTATCAGCTTGTAATCGATCGGTTTCTGACGCCTCTGAGGAGGATTTTCAGCTCTAAGTTTAGCGAACTCGACCCTCCAACAGCAGAGAGCACCGAAGTGACAAAAACCCACTGGACTGTGAGCACAACTTCCTCCTCGGCTCACTATTGGTCAGCTACTGATCCCATTCAGATGTTGCCAGGGAGAGACACACACCACACACACTCTTTCACACACACACACACACACACACACACACACACTCCCTCTTCTGGTATTTCACTCATTCCCACGGGAATGTAAAGATTCTAGTCGTCTCTATTCGGGACAGCAGATGTGTCGGTGGAGTCGAATTCAGACTCATCTGGTCAAACTACACTTTGTTTTATTTTGTATTAAAGTTTTAATGGTTAAAATAAGTGTCAGTTAAAACAACCAAATCTGACTGATTGAGACAGAGATGATCAATATATCCAGGTGGAAAAAGGAATGTAGGTCTTATTATTTAATATAAATATCCAGATAAAAGGTCGGTGTACTTTGTTTATTGATTTTTGTTTAGAAATAAAAAACAAAATCAGGAAATTACACGTTTTACAGGTTTTATTTTGAAAATAAAAAACAAAATGTTTTAAAAAATGACCTAATTTCTGTTTTTAAATAAAAAAGTCTAGTTTTTTGTTTAGAAAATAAAAAACAATGTAAAAATATCAGATGTTCTCATTGTTGTTTGAGTCTACTACACTTTGTTTATTCATTATTAAAGTTTTAATAGAGTAATAATCAATATATTGAGGTGTAAAAAGGAACATAGACCTTCTTAAAGTTGTTTTCAATGTGTATATCACATTTTAGTTGCACTTTACTGTCATCATAAATAAAATATAAAAATATTGTTAAGTGTTCTTTTAGAAATGTTTGAGCTCCATTTGAAACTAATCATCGTATATTTTTACTGTTTATTGTTATTTAAATTACACTGAACTCTTTTCTGTTGTAATGAGATTTTATCTTAAATTTCATATAAATTCTGATATACTGTAAAATATCAAGTGTATATAAATAAAGTTATATAGAAATTAGGTCAATAAAGTAAAAATATAAATAAAAATCCTTTGCTTGTATTTGCTTTGTATTTTGAATTAAGTGAGAAAGAATAAAGTGTATTTGAAACATCATTCAAGTGTACTCTGGTATATTTAAAGTAGGTTTAATTACATGTAATATAATATAAAAATAGTACATTATGATCAGAAAAAATCAGCATCCTTCATTTAAAATGTTAAATACACATTTCTTTAAGTATTTCCATTTTATCTTACTTTATAAATGAACATTTTAGGAGCCGTTGTTTCACTTTTTTACTCTATTTAAAAGCTTTAGTTACTGGTTACTCGTCAGATTCAGACTATTAACACAATATATATATATAAATCAAATAATCAATAAATTATTATATATTATTATTATGGATTAAACCCAACCAGCTGAATATAAAGTAGTTAAAATGAACTCCAGTTGCATCATTAAAGCATCAATAATTATAATCCAGTGACATAATAAATACATTCAGGTTGTCTACAGACTCCAGGGTTTGTCGGGGCGGTGAGGGCGTGGCATGTTTTTGGGGTGGGGGGTGAGGCTGGGGGTGAGGGTGGAATGCTTGTGGGGGTGGATGCTTCTTGGTGTAGTTGTGTGGGGGTTGCAGGGGTGGAATGTTTGTGGGGCGTGAGGGGTGTGAGGTGGGTGTGGTCGGAGGTGGTTTAGGGGGATGCTTGTGGGTGGATGGGTGGGTGATTGTGGAAGGGGTGGATTTGGTGGGTGGGTGAGGGGTGGATGGGTTGGGGCGTGAGGGTGGCGTGAGTGGATCTTGGAGGGGTGAGGGTGGAGTGAGGGTGGATGAGGGGTGACTAGAGGTGTAAGATCTCATAACTCACACCACATTGGCTCGGGGACCAAATCAGCTGAGCTGCGGGGAGTCAGAACAGCGCGTAAGGTTACCACTAAAACACACCACACACACAAGACACACACACAAACACAGGAACACAGGACAGGGACGGAAGAGAGACAGACAGGACTTTACTTCTGCTCTTTCTGGAGAGATTTCACCTGAACTTGGGAGACAGGAAGACCCGGTCTCCCTCGGTAGGTAAGTGCTCGGTGTGTCTTCCTGGCAGCGGAGAAGCGTCCTTTATTCAGGTCTAAAAATACTCTTTAAAGTGTTGTTAGGTGTTAAGTGTATTTGAAAGTGTTATTAGTGTTACATACAAGTGTATTTAAGTGTGCAGAACGGCTTCATTATGTATTCTGTTTACTGTCACTAAGATACACGTGAGGGAGAGTGGTGCTATGTTGTGGTTGAGTTAAATTAATAAATCTGTATGTTACACTGAGGTGATTAAACTGTTTAATGCTTGCTTGTTATCATATAGTTTTATAATGGAAACTGTCAGAAAATGAAAACTACAGCAGAAGATATCCAGATAAAGGGTTCGGTGCTGTTGGGGGTCGAAGGGGGATTATTATTTTTGAAAACCAAGAAAACCAAAAAGGGGGCGGGAAACCAACCCTTTTTCTAGTTTTTTTGTTTTGAAATTTAAAAAACCAGAAAATGGGAAAAAAGACTTGTTTTGTTTCCTCAATATTTATAAATTATAAATATTAGTTTTTTTTCTTTTCAAAACAAAAAGTTACGCCTTTACGATAAAGTAAAAGCATGGTTAATTTCTCTCGTACCAGGAACAACTTTTATAAAAAAGTTTTTGGAAAAAAAAAGTTTAAAATCATGAACGTAAGAAGAAGAAACTTATAAATAAATGTTTCGTACAATCTAATAATAAAGTTTTAATAGCACATAAAATATCATGAAAATCCATTAGAGCTAACAGCTGAGCTACGCTAACATTAAGATAGTTCACTGTTACCCGTTTTATTACTTACTTTTTAATTTAGCTTCTGTATTAATTATGTCCGATAACATTAAACTTAACATAACCAACATGGTTAGCTTCAGCATTCATTGGATCTAATTCAATGGACAGCAGGGATAAATGTGAGTTTAATACAGTAAAAAGGGAAACGAGCAGTCGCTAATAGGATTAGTTAGCGTTATGCACATGGGCAAGCAAGGCGCCGTACTACTATTATTTTTACACTACTAGCATGACTCTGTAGCATCTTTTTTCTCAAATCAACCGATCAGTTGGTTTTGAGGACCATAAAAATGGTTAGGAAAATGTTGATCTCTGTTTCCCAATCCTCAAAGTCTCATTTCAGCTATCAACTTAAAGATATTCAGTTCATTAAAGAAACACAGAGACAATATTCACCATCTTTAGACGCAAACTTCGGATAATTTGGACATTTTGCTTTCTTAAAAACAGACTCAAAAGATTAATTGATTATCAAATACTATAATATTTAGAGCAGTCGGGGATGGGGAGTATCATGTTTATATTTCTGCCTTCAACAGCTTCACTTAATCCTAGTTGTAGTTTGAGCTTTTTAATAAAACAAACGTAGTTCAGGTCTGATATCTCCCGCACCCTCCGGCTGTGTCGTGGTGTGTGTTGATGTGTGCTGGTGTGTATGTGTGTGTGTGTGTGTGTGTGTGTGTGCGTGTGTGTGTGTTTTGATCCTCCAGTATTCGCTGTCAACATGGCGAGTGTTTGAGGAAGAGAGACTCCGACAGCTGGCCGCCCTCAGTGGAAGGCATGCGGCCTCTATTAATACCCCCCTCGCCCCGGCTCTCTACCGGTGTCTGCTCATTCACGCCCGGCCGCGTCAAATGCCACCGCATTAAAGCACTCGCCGGTTACAAATTTGATGCTATTTAAAAATTATTATTATTACGGAGGGAATTTTTGGCTCAAAAGTAGAAATTATTGTTCTCGTCAAAAAACCTGTAATGTTATCAGGATGTAGCAGCTCTCCAAAGATAGCGACCATGACCAAAACATATATTTATATACAAAATGTAATATACGACCATAATTAGATGTTGATGTTTGTGGCTGATACTGTGGTTGCCATGCTAACAGGGGCTGTAACCGTGGTGATATTCTTACATTTCTTACCACACATTGTCTCTCAGAAGCTGCAGTGAGCTCCGTTTTAACGCTGTAGTGAAAGTATCATATGAAACTAGAAGACCTGAGATGGCCAAATTAAAAAAGGGATCCATTGACCTCTGACCTCAAGATATCTGGATGAAAATAGGTCCTATGGGAACCCACAAGTCTCTCCTTTACAGACATTGTGCACTTTGTGCTGGTCTCATGCAGTTTGGGGCCAACAACATGCAACTGGTCAAACGAACTCTCTAGTGGAATATTCCAACATCTGTTTGATGGATTGGACCCAGATTTTGTGCAGATGTTCGAGGTTCCCAGATGATGAATCCTGGAGACTTTGGGGATCCTCTGACTTTTTTTTTTAGCGCCACCATGAGGTCAAACTGTTTACCAATTAGCTAATGTTATGATGATGATGTTAATAAGATGTCGAATATACATATAACACAGGTACCAACGCTGAGTCCTTGCTGCAGCTCCTCCTCCTCACTGATCACTCTTCACCCATCACTATTGATTAAAGGCAATAAAAGCCCAAAGAACATAAACATTTACAATGTTTACGATGGTTAAAACTCCTGAAATCCTGACCGACTCCGGTTTAAGAAAACACAGCAGGGTTGTAATCTACACTAATGACAATAACAACATTAATTATGAGTAAATATAACAATATATCAGCTGTTATTGTAGTTATACTGGCTAATATACATAGTTTAAAATACTTCCTTCTGTGTCAGGGTTGTAAATAAGTATATGTGTGTTTTAATTGTTTTATATATGTTTTAATGGTTTTATATGTGTGTTTTAATGGTTTTATATGTGTTTTAACTGTTTTATATGTGTTTTAATTGTTTTATATGTGTTTTAATTGTTTTTATATGTGTGTTTTGTTCAGTTAGATGCATAGCGACAGCGACATGGCCATTCCCCGGATGTTTAACTCCAACACGCCGTTCGTCATCGTGACCGGAGGATCCGAACTCTCGTTTCTTGGCAAAGAGGATGCCGGCGAAGGAGGCTGTGAGGAGGAAAAGGACTCTCTGGTCCAGGCCATCGCCCCCCATCTGAGTCGGGTGATGCAACATGGCACTGCAAAACACGTGGTCCCCAAAGGGCGCCAAGTCTGTGAGGAGAGTCCCTGCGTGTCCATCGTGGCCCAGGCAGAGAGTAAGACTGCAGGTCTACAGTATGTGGATCAGTGAATGGGCCTCTATCATCTGTCTGTGGAGATATTTATAGATTATATAGATTATATAGATTATAGATTATTGAGGGTTCGTTTAAATACCACTCAAATATCGCAGTGTGTGGTTACTTTAACTTTCAGATAGTCGTCAGCTGCCCAGATTTAAACGATGATCAACAAACCCAAGTATGCATGAAGAGAGTTGCATTGTGGGATATGCAGGATCAAGGTTTTATCTTATGCTAGAGGCTAAAGGTCAAACTCTTTCAACCACTGCTGCTTTGATTTAAAATGTCGAATTGGGTTTTTAACTGGTAGAAACAGTTTAATAAAGCGAAATTTAAAGGAATATTTCACATATTTGCATAATTCTATAGCTAGAAATGTTAAAAACTAAATTCTACATTTCACGGGGCCGTAAGAATTCTCAATTCGTTGGTTTTTTACATACTAAACAAACCTAATGTGTTAATCAGTGAGTTTTACAGCTGCTGGTAGGTTTTACCTTTGGACCAAGTTTGACCCTGTTGTGACCCATTTGTCCGTCCTGAAGCCTCGAGTTTGGCATTGTTTACTAAAT